TCCGCCCGCCGGCCGGTGCCGCTGTGTCCGGGCCGCGGGTCCCTCAGCCACCGCCACCGCCGCTGCCGCCGCGATCCGGGACAACCAGGGCCGCCTGGAAGGCACGGACACTGGATCGCCGGGCCCTCGGATCCGGATTCCGGGCTGGTGTGGAGACTGGCGCGGGAGAGCGCAGGGGAAACCCGGAACCTGGATGGAGAAGCCAAATCCTGGGTCTCGGAATGCGCGGTCACAAGGAGCCAGGATTAGAGTCTGCTCTGGGAATGCTGGAAAACCCGGCGAGCCGGTTAAAACAGAGATAAACTCGAAGAAACCTGGATTAGAAGCTCGAACCTAACGCTCTCGCCTCGCGGAAAGAACTCTCGCCGGACCAGACTTCCTCGCAGAGAGGTCTCTGGGGGAGCATCAAAACTTACAGAAGGCACCAGTTCTGTAGGTGCCCTTCAACTGTGGGGAACGGGGTCTGAATGTGAACATCCACAAAGAACAGAAGAGCAAGCAAAGCTCATGAGGGTTTCGTCTATTTTATCCCTTGGTTCAGCAAAATATCAACCCTCTACTTTTTCCTTTGTTCTCGTTTCCTTTTTTTTTTTTTTTTAATATATTTTATTGATTTTTTACAGAGAGGAAGGGAGAGAGATAGAGAGTTAGAAACATCGATGAGAGAGACATCGATCAGCTGCCTCCTGCACATCTCCTACCGGGGATGTGCCCACAACCCAGGTACATGACCTTGACCGGAATCGAACCTGGGACCTTTCAGTCCGCAGGCCGATGCTCAAAATATCAACCCTCTACTTTTTCCTTTGTTCTCGTTTCCTTTTTTCAGATTACCATTTGTTTTCCTCTTCGAAGTACCCATTTCTAGTCCTTCTAATATCCCTTCTCACCTCACCATCCTGTCATCAAACCTTACTGCTTTTTATTATGTAAAAGTCTTATTCTATTCTCCAAACCAATATCCTATGTAACTGTTATCTTTCCTTATTTATCTGCCATTCATCTCTGATAGCCCAGCACATTATCTAGTACACAGTAGGCATTCAGTGCATGTTTTAAAAAAAGATGTATTTCATTGATTTCAGAGAGTAAGGGAGAGGGAGAAATAGAAACTCAACGCTGAGAGAGAATCATCAATCAGCTGCCTCCTCCATGCCCCCTACCAGGATCTGACCGAGCCCACAACCTGTGCATGTGCCCTGACAGGGAACCAAACGGTAGAGGCCGATGCTCAACCACTGAACCACTCCTGTTTGTTTAAAGAACGCCCCCACTCACCACTCACTTGTGAAACATACTCTTCAGGACTTCCTTTCCTAAAACTTCTACCTCCTTGCATAGCAAACAGAAATTTATCTTAATTCTCAAGGCTCCCCACATTTTAGCCCCTATTACATTCCTCCTGTGTCCTTGACCATCTTAGTCAACTGCAGTTTCTTTCCTTTCTTTGCTTATCCTGAGGTATCCTCCAACAGTGCCACTCAAGATAGTATGTGACTTGAGGATAGAGCCAGGTCATAAAATACCTTTACTCTCCACCTCTACACACAAAGGTGTTTATATTTTGAGGGGGGGGTGGGGGGGCAGGGGGTTTGCCAAAGATAAATACTAAGGCTGTCTGGCCTAGGAAGATAATCTCCCTTTGGTCCACCAATATTCAACTTATTTAGGACGGTATAAGGACAGAATTGATCTCAGGTGACAGCAAACTTCCAATCTGTACTAAGAGATATATTACAAGTGAAGATTCAGCTCCTTATCGGAAAGAGAAAGAACACGGTTTAGTGTTTTAGACTTAAGTGTTAAAATGTTTAGACTTAATTATGGATTAATAATTGAGTAATCATCTCCCAGTGAAGAACATGACTCTGCTGGAGACTGGGCTACAAAAATAGGAAACAAAGGAAAAACATTCCTACACTGAACCCCAATTTTTAGCCAGAGAAAGTTCTCAGGTCTGGAAGAATACTAAAAATTGTAAAGTGATTGATGTCCTGTACAGTAAAAAAATATTAAGTTTTAACTTCCTGTTCCTCTAGACCTGTGGTCGGCAAACTCATTAGTCAACAGAGCCAAATATCAACAGTACAACGATTGAAATTTCTTTTGAGAGCCAAATTTTTTAAACTTAAACTATATAGGTAGGTACACTGTTATTAACTTAATTAGGGTACTCCTAAGCTTAGGAAGAGCCACACTCAAGGGGCCAAAGAGCTGCATGTGGCTTGCGAGCCGCAGTTTGCTTACCACAACAGACTAAGGGTTGGCAAATTATGGCCCACAGGTCAAATCAGGTTCATGAGCAAAGAATGTTTTTACAGCCCTGGCTGATGTGGCTCGGTGGATAGTCAGTCTGCAGACTGAAGGGTCCCAGGTTTGATTCTGGTCAAGGGCACATGCCCAGGTTGTGGGCCCAATCCTCAGTGGGGAGCATGCAGGCGATAGCCGGTCAACAATTCTCTCTCATCATTGATGTTTCTCTCTCCCTCCCTCCCTCTCCTTCTCTGAAATCAATAAAAATATATACTTTTAAAAACACTGTTTTTACATTTTTAAATGGCTGAAAAATAAAAAAAAATTTGTGATGTGAAAATGAAATTCAAATTTCAGTGTCCATAAAGTTTCATTGGCTCATAGCCATGCTCATTCACTTATTATCTTGGATACATTTGCATTACAATGGCAGAGTAGAATAGTAACAGTTGTATGGCCTGAAATATTTGCTACCTAGTCCTTTACTGAAAAAGTATGTTGACCCCTGCTCCAAACAAGCACTGTCCAATAGAACTTTTTGCAATGTTAGAAATGGTCTATATTTGCACTATCTAATTCAAAAGTTACTAGCCACGTGTGGCTATTTGAGCACTTGAAATATGGTTAATGTGACTGAAGAAATGAATTCTTTTTTTTTTTTTTCTCGCTAAAAGTATTACAAAGGGTATTACATAAGTGTCCTTTTCCCCCCCCCCCCCCTGAAGAAATGAATTCTTAATTTCATTTAAATAATCACATGTGGCTAGTGGCTACTATATTAGACAGTACAGCTCTAGACTCTTCTCACGTCTTCTGTACTGACATTCTTTTTGTCCCTTGTCCCAACATCTCACTCCCCTCCTATGACACACCTCTCTATGGACACTTTAGTCTGGTTCCTGGCTCCCCTTCCCTGGCCCTATTTAACTGACTCCAAGCTAGGGTACAAAATTTACTAGGTTTTATTTCTAGACTCTCCATTGTCAATTAAAATCTGAAATCTGATCAGTTTACCAAGTTTCACCTCATGAATTAATCCACATTACGTGCACACACATAAATGGACATTTACACAAGTGTCTTTGTGTCAGAGGACGGCACTGTGGCTATGTTCTTTCTTTGCATGAGAGAAGTAGAAAAGCCTTCCAAATGCTGGACCCTTGTTGCTGATGGAACCTGTGATATGGATCACCTCCCTCCAAACACATTCACGGAAGCTGAGAACAGCAGATGTGCACTTGCTATTTGAATCTCAGAGAGAACACATCCTTCATCATAGGACTTTCTTTCCTCCCCTCAGGCCTAATAAACTGAAGTTAGCTGATTTCTCTAGTTTAATAGATGCTTGCTTTTTTACTGGCCTTTTCTAGCTAGGCAGAAGAACAACTCCCAGACTGTCTCAATCTTGGCTAAGAGCTCTAGCAAAGGCATTAAAAAAATTTACCAAAGTAAATGAAATCCACATAAATACACTTTAGTAGAGACAGTATACTTAAAATGGAAAAAGTTATAACTCATAACTTTGTAATTATTTGTAAAAGTAATCTTGAAAGTCTAAATTTTTCATACCTCCCTAGGAAAAAATGGGTTTCTGTAAACTAGCTTAAAAAGAAAAGAGGAGACACATAGTTCTCTTTCTCCAGATTAGCTATAGCAAGCAAAAAGTTAAAAAAACAAAAAACACCTCACTCCATTTCAAACATCTGACTGCAAGGTCAAAACCTCCTAAATCCTGACAGAGAAAACCAGTTTTATATGTAGCCTACTCTGAGCTTATATATTTAACATTGGGTCCTGTTTGGAAAAACAAAAATAAAAACACTGAATCCTTTAGGTACCATATAAATTGTGAGCCACTGAACCCAACCATCCAAAAGGGGGCGCAGAAGAAAACCAGCTCTGAACCACGGAACTTCCCTCAGGCCAAGCTGTCCTAGTTGTAGGGTCAGAGCAAAGTGGTATAAAGTACTAAGAGGCTGGCTATTCCTGTGTGAGTTTATATTCAGGCTAATAATTTCCACTAAGCTTTAAATTATGCTACTCATTACTGAGCAATGGAGGCCCATCTACCCTCAAGTCTCTCCCACACTTCCTCTCTGGTGTCTGTCTGCAAATAAGGGACCTAATACCACCACCACATGAACTAAAGACAGACTTTCACAGTCTAACCATGAAAAGAAGTTTCCAAGTTACTCTGCCATTTTCTCATGTGGCTTCAGCTGCATATTTTGGATGTGAGGTGGTTCTTATAAACTTGGAAGGCCCTTATAAACTTTATCATGGTACACAAAATGGTTTCATAACCTGAACTCTTACAGTTCCTGATGTTTTTCTTTAGGCATGCACACAATCTATCCAGGTGGAAAAATCAATCCAGACTCTTCTGTGCTCAGGCTGTCATTTAAATAAAAAGGCAGATTAACTTTTCTTCTTCCAGCCCTAGGCTCTTTACCTCGTGCCTTTTGGTTTTATTTTGGTATTTAGGAAACCAGACAGCCCGGCCAGTGTGGCTCAGTGGTTGAACATTGACCTATGATCCAGGAGGTCACAGTTGATTCCTGGTCAGGGCACATGCCCAGGATGCAGGCTCAATCCCCAGTAGGGG